GCATAACAACAGACCCGCGTTTTTAGCTTTATGTTCATAGTTGGCTACAACTGAATATAATCTTTCCACATCAATAGCTGCAGTTAGATGCCTACGCCTCCTGAACAGTATCATCAGAAATATACGCGTAGGTACAGGTCTGTCTCAGATATATGCAAGTGTCCAAAAAAAGAGAAGCCAAATTTGATCAACACGAAATGCTTGGCAAATAATTTTGATTGGCTCAATCAAACCTGTCGACCTGAACCTGTCGACTTCATTCAAAAAACGGATCGTTTACAGCACATGCCTTTGTCTCAACGCAGCAAACCTTATCTCCAGCCACCAATGACCGGACCTGCCGACATGATCACCCAACCACCCTTCATAGCTCAGAACCGTGCTGTGTAGGAAGCGCAGATGCGGGCTTCAGACCAGTGCCGTAACAATCCGACACCGCTGCCTTTAGTTACACAGGAAGCCCGTTACCGCCGATTCACCAGCGTGCCCACTTCCCCGTCCTCTACCCCTGCCCGTCACGGGCCCGTCCGCGCCCCTGATTGGCTGGCGACCGCTGCCCGCTGTCGCCGCGGTGCTGCCTGGCACGTCCGCGCGCGCCGGTGGCCGCCGGCGGCGACGGTGCGACGAAAGGTGCTGTTACGCCGGATCAGTCCCCTGGCGCAGCTCCGGTGGCGTTCTCCCCGCGTCAGCCGCTGCTGCGCTGCCAGGGCACTGTGCTCTGGGCCGGTGGAATCTCTGAAGAAGAAAGAAGCGCTCGAGTCTGCGGTCGTGATGGTGACTCCCGGACCATGGTGCGGCGCCGGCCGATGTGATAAGTACAGGACCAGGACCACGCCATTTCCTCGTCGGTAGGTGTCGGGAGACCGTCCTGTTTCTGCTCTCATGTTCCTATGAAGAAGACGGAAGACCGGCCCTCATCACCAGGTTTTGTTAGAAATCCGTGCTGCTGCTGCTGTTGTGGGTCCCTTGCCGAAGACCCACCCAGAGCCATCCCGTCGGCTCTCCAGCGTCGCTGACCGGCCTGCCCTGCCAGAGGCCGCCGCGACAGTGGCAGCCATGCCTCTAGACCCGGACGGTGACCTCGCGGCGCTGGACGGACCGCGGCTCTCCTCTGCGCCGAGCCCCCTCCTCCACCACCTGTGGGGCGGCCTGCCGCTGGCGGAGCCGCGCAGCTCTGGCTACGGCTCCAGCCACGGCGGCGGCTACGGCGGCAGCTCCAGCCCGCTTGACGCAGCGCTCAGCGCGCTCGCGCTCCTCGCCTTTGCCCTGTTCTTCCTGAACGTGCTGCTGCCGCAGATTACGGGCGGCGGCGGCGGCGGCGGTGGTGGCCGGGCGGCCCCGGAGGGCGATCCGCTGCCGCTGGACCTGCGACAGGAGCTGCTGAATGTGCTGCTGGCCCGGCTGGAGAAGCTGAACAGGAGAGCGGAGGAGGACCAGAACGTGAACAGGAGGGCCACAAGGCGCCAAAAGGCGACCAGGCGCCAGACCGGGCGTCAGGAGGTGACCAGAATGCCCACCAGGAATCAGGGCGGGGAACTTCCAGCTCGTTGGAGGCGAGACTTCGGGGAACCGAGCGAGACTGAAACTTCGGGGAACCGAGCGAGACTGAAACTTCGGGGAACCGAGCGAGACCGAGACCTCGAGGCACCGAGCGAGATCGAGAAGTGAACTAGAGCGTGTGCGGAAAGCTGGGTAATTTACATCGTGTGCCTCATGAAGACTTGTCTCCTTAACGTAGGTTTATTTGTGGATAAATTAAATACACACTGTGTTTAACTGCCTAGGTCCTTGTGTCTAAACAAGTACGTGTCATATGTGTGGCTGTATTCACGTTAGGAATGTAGTAGATGGTTTTGTGCTTCGTATGATCTCGGGAACATTATGCCCATTAACAGGCATCGACAATATTAGCTCATTCATAAGCCTATTTTTTGAAATGGTTGAATGTACTTGTTATCGTGGAGACATGCATTGCATAGATTGTAGTAATCTAATTAATCAGGTTTTGTACGTGAACTGATTTTCAGTACCGCCAAAAACAATAAACATTAACATATACCCATGAATGCCGTTCCCACATTTCATACTGAAAAACTCACAAATGTTCGTTAGCGGATTACAAGTCCTATTGTTATCACCGGAGCCCGTCACTGGCATGCCATGGCCAGGGCAGCTGACCCAGGGTGAGTACGGACTGGAGGTCAGACGGAGGTGCTCCTGGAACCTTCGAGTTCGATTCGATTCCGTTTCATCTGACGGGTGGTCTGGTTTTGAGGCCAAGATCGATGTGGCAGGCGGACGCTGCATCCATCCTCAGCTACATAAGTCAAGGAAAAGGTGGTGGCGGCAGCATTGGGGCCGAAGATGTGCAACTCACGTTTAACTGCTGACACACGCTGAGAGTGGTGATGTCTTTAAAATGCTCCACCCTTGTGGCCCGTCACAAAAAATGAGCTGAAAAGCACTGACGTGTTATGCAATTGAAATGCGTTGCGACGTTACAAAGCAAAATATAAGCAAGCGATCGTTGTGCGTTCTTGACTCAATAAAGGTTGGAGACCGTTGGGAATGTCAGCAACATCACTAGATGGCAGCAGGACAGAGAAAAGTCCCTTTTCTCTCACTGGCAAAATTTGGAACCGAATAAAACTTGTCACCTGCAGCCAAATCTTTCAAGAGCCTTTGCAATGTATACTCGAAATGCAATAAGCCACGAAACAACGACAAGTTTAATGCAATGCGGCTTAGCCGTGAAACTTTTGGTTTTTGTTTCGGGAGTTCATTTGCACTTAAGTATCAGTTGCTGGCCATCAAACACTGAAAGATAGCTGAGACCAAACTAATAACAGTTACCCGATAAAGGCGTACTTAACATAACCAGGTTAGAGATGTGTAGTTTCCTATTCAGCTAAGGGTAGGGGATTATGCCTCCTAGCCATGGGTGTTGGTTCCTATTTATATTTATTTTGTATCATCATTTTTCATGAATCTTTTTAGGAATCAGCTCTCCAAACTAATTTCGAGAACTTACATCCTTGCTCCCAACTGTGAAAAAGTGCGTCAAAAAGATGGGAAAACTATTGAAGATGCATTTCGGAGGCGGGTTCAGTCATTTTGTTCTGCCCCACCCCCATCCCTCAACCCTACGTATTTTGCCAAACTGCATCCCCCTACATTTAACGATAATATGGCTACACAAGCACCCGACAACAATGTCGCTTTTGGTTTTGTGTGACGTCATTACACAATCAGCTAGAAGCGTAGGCGATCTCCACTATCTTCGCATCATCATTACTGGTGCAGAACTCGCGCTTCCTAACATGATCCCAATCATTTAGAACTGACAGTTCAATTCTGACAAGCGTACCTAGCGACGCATGTGTACAACTAAACCTCTAGCATGTAGGTGAGAATCAAGATATAAATGACAGCAAATAGCGCGTCGATATCAGCGATATGCTGTTACCTTCGCCTTGTGGCACTCGGAAGCATTGCGATACCTCTTGAGGCACACCCGCAAGTTGTTAGCTCGCCTTGGAAAGCCCCATCACGTGCGCCAACCACCGTGATCAAACATGACCTGCCAGGTAAGGCTTCTGCATGTTCTACAGCGGCCGTGCGAATTAGTTCCGTACGGCGAGCCGCCACCTTCCCGACCGTTGTAAAGTGCACGGCGCTAGTGACCCGTGACGCCGTGGAATGCGCCGCCGGCCGCGCTCGCCCCGGCGCCACTCGGCCCCGCTGTGACGTCCCCGCGTGGCCCCCGCGACCGGCGTGGCGGCGGCGCGCCAATGGGCTGCGGCGTACGACCTGCGGACACGTCGCGACACAGCCGTAGCGGCCGCGCCCCTCCCCGCGCCGCTACAGACCGCCGTCGTGACGGAAGAAGACTGTCGACGCTGCTGCGCGCTCTGGTCGACCGCTGTGACGCTGACAGCACCGTTTGAGGTGCCTTGTGTGAACCGGCTGGTGCGTGACGTCACATAATTATTGATGCGCTCACCTGTGAGTACGTTTAGTCACAATGAAATGAATACAGCCTCTGCAAGCCCCGGCGCGGCTCACTTCCGGGGTGAAATTACATCAGACGCTCGCTACTGCACCGTCATTTTTTAGATGTGCACATTTGATTGATGGTCGCATATATGCTCATACACCAGACACGCCTCAGAACACAAATTACCATTATCATACTAATCATCATGAGCTCAAGTGGGTACAGTCATGCAGATGAGAGCCATCACCCTATCACGATGTCAGATGGGGTCATTTTTGCAGTTTCGTCTCCACTTCACCGCCAGCCTCCGTTTTAAAGGTTGTGAGCACCGAAGGATGATGCCTATGATGTGCATAATCAGTATGTGATGAAATCTTGCATTCACATCGCAACGCATACACGTAATGTTCAATGTCTTTGGTTGATGCTGTACATCATTCGATTGTCTCAACGCAAAGCCCTGCATGTGAATATAAATCTTACAGAGACGATATATCTGCAGTACAATACGCCGCTCACCATCAATTGTGTGCATGTCGCACTATACAATCTTCACGTATCTTTTCTCGCGTGCCAACACTAAATCAGTCCATGACTTTACTGAAGAATCATCCAGCAGATGACAACTGGCGTCATGTTTCACATAAATGGCGCGCGCTTCGTGCGTTCTGTTAAATATGAGCGTAGCGTCTTGCGAACAAGTAAAACGCACACTTTGACTCACCCACCACGAAAACGCACGTGTGTTAGTCTCTCCATCCGGCACGAATAAAACGCAGCGGGGCGGCCAGCCTTTGATCGCCTGGACTGTCACGGGCCGCGGCGTGGATCAGAAGTGCGCCGTTTCCGGCGCCCCTCCGCGCCGGCAGTGTCAGCGGCCCCGGGGCCGGCAGCGGACCCACGCGGGATCCGAGACCGGCGCTCGAGGCGCTGCCAAACGGGACCCGACGCTGGCGCCGAAGCCGGTGCGGCAGTCACGCGCCGCCCGGCCGCCGCGCGACGCGTGAGGCGCCAGGCGTGAGGCGCGTCTCGTGGGGAGGGCGCGGGCCGGGCCAGCATGGAGGCCGTCATGGTGGTCAGCGGGGCGGCGTACGGCCTGGCGGCTGTGGCGAGGCAGCTCGCCGGACAGACGGGGCGCGAGCGACTGGCCAAGACGTCGGAGGCTCAAGGTGAGGTCTCGACACAGTCTGGAATCGCACTCGTGAAGGTTTGTATTTTGTCATAAGTGCTTTGTCTATTGATGTAACCTTGCGTGAGTAATGTGAGGAGACGCTAGGTTTCACCTTTAATAGATGTACTAAATATGTGCTCCGCAAGTTCATCACACATAGGACGAATGTGAATTCGTCTTTTTATGTCTGTTCATGGTTTTATTTGCCGCACATCAGTAGAGACTAATGTTATTTAAACCACTCACGCCGACACGACTTTTGCACGCGTAGCCTGAGAAAATCATTCGAGTGCATCTCGTGACTCGATTACCTCGAAAACCTTTCGTTCACGTGACTGGGTGTAGTTGTTTGTTACTGACCCCCAACGCAACTGTATCCTCAAATGTCTATATGTTGCCAGCGGTGTCAACATGACATATGCAGCTAGACTCCCTGACGTACGCCAAGAAAGTGTGACTGTGCTTGCCCAAGTGACGTATGCAAGTTGAAGGACCTAGCGACCATAGCGTTGTTGTGGAGGCTCCCTTCTGAGCACATATCCGTAGTTCTGCATGACCCCTGACTCTGACCTCAGTTCCAGTGGAGTATCGATCCGGGTACGGCAGCTCCAGCTCCAGCTACGGTGGAGGGGCCAGCCTGGAGACGGCCCTACTCTCTCTCGCCTTCCTCGCCTTTGCTGTATTCGTCATTCAAAATCTGCAGGTTTGATGCCCTTGGTTTGTATTAAAAGGGCAAAATCTTTATAGTTTATGGCATTCCCAAGTTGTGTTTCCAGGCTATTTCAGTCCTTAGCAAAAGAGACTCGAAAGGAGGCGATATTGTATGATGTTTGTTGAGCCGTGCTATTACCTTACGCTATATAAATTTATAAGGCTAGTGTACTTGCTATGAATGCTATGGGCAGGCCAGCTCATCATTTCAAACATTGTTTCGGAAGTCTCTCAGTATGTAAACATTTTTTCATTAGCTTTGGTGTCGGTATATTTTTATTTGAAGGGTATCTTAGACATTGTGATGGCTACTGGAATGACACCCTGAGCTCGTCGAAACAAGCCGGCTTCGTGTTTTATTTTGAATTTCTGTTTGCTAGCTCCTCCGATAAAGAGATGATGTTTGTTCTCTGGGTGTGGCTTCCGAGTCCCATATCACACGGTCGCACCTACGTTTTGTGTGGTCAATTTGCATTAAACTGATTTAGGCTAGTTCGAAAGTAATGTCCATTCAGCTGCATGTAAGTGCCGTTGGTCCTAACCAGGCTAGCGAAATAAGCAACCGCGAAGTAACCGATCCTGAATCATATGATCTTAAATGACATCATCGCGAATCACAGATCATTATTTGCGCTCACGACTCGTATCGTCGGTTGTAAAAGGAAATCCTGGATTTGTATACTTCTGACGCCAGGCTGATTTGTCGGAAGCTCATAGCCCAGCCGATGTAGTCTTCTCTGAACGTAAGTGTGGCATTGAGGATGTAAAGCCTACGAAACGGTCGAGGGACTGGAATCATATGACCTGACGTATGGTGCATCGCTAGCACATTTGCAAGCGCAAACAAAACAAAAAACATCCAAAAGTAACCGCGCAGTAAGCACCACGGGACAGCGCAGCACCCGACGGGAGACAAACAGCCGAGCCCGCAAGTCAGGTCAGGAGAAAACACTGTGGAACATGTCGGGGAAGCACACTGTCAGACATGTCAGGGGAGGACTGAGCCGACTTCGATGACTGGACCGGATTGGAAGCGAGCGGACGAACGGACTGGATCGGGCTGTGCGTGCCATTTTTCCATGACATGACATGACAAAGCGAGACAGGGAAGGGCAGGGCAGGACAGCGCGGAGCAGGACAGGGTAGCGAAGGATAGGACGAGGTGGTGTGGAGCTTAGCAGGACCGGACGGAGGAAGGCAGAGTAAGACATGCCAGACACTAGGTAAAGTGGGGCGGAGGAGGGTAGGGCAAGGCAGGATAGGACAGGAAAGTGCAGGAAAGGAAAGGTTAATGTAGGGCATGGAAAGGACGCACAAGACAGAAACAATAGCTCTGTCCTGGTTGGTCTGATCTCGTTCCGTTCCGTTCCCGTTCCGTTCTGCGTTTTCGACCGGAGCTCAGAGTTGCGCCATTAACAGCCGCAATGCACCATGAGTCTGGCGTGAATATAGGTGGCAGCACAAACGAATGCATTCAGTCGCCGAAGTTCGGCAATTGTAAAACAGTGATGTCGGCTCAGATTTCTGTAGCATTGAAATTTTACATGAAACTTTTCCGCAGTGTGGCTGTTACGTTAACGGAACAAACTATCCCTCGAGAGATATAAAGATTGAAGATAGAAAATGGTGATCATCCGCCAAACAGTCTCATGCCCACGGCGAGTGAATGGAAGTCTTTGTGCTGCCATCTATATCTATATCGGAATCGTACGCTCTGGCTATAGATAGCAACACTAAAATGTTGCTACAAAGCGCATATATGGGCTCTGTCGATCTTTCGTCACACGAGAAGGTTTCTACGGTCCGCCTCCCGCTGTCACTACTCATTAAGAATGTTGGTGTTGCCATACCTGGAAGTGTTTGCTTTTGTCATGTCGGTTAAATGACCTGACATGTTTGTGCTTAAAGGTTTCAGCATTTAAACTGTATGTCGGATCAAATAAGCTGTATATTGGTTCAAGCAGCATCTCTTAACAACGCAAGCCTGGTTCTCTTGCCTTTTCCAAGGGGCGCACATATATATTTGCTTCCGGTAGTCAAAATTCAGTCTAAAGGGGTGCAAATATATTTTTCCCTCCGTTACAAAAAAATTCAGGAAGAACATCATATCGACGGGAGGCCCCATGTTCTGGATTCAAAAGGTTCTTTTAGAAAAGTGGGCGAGAGTTTAGGTAGAGTGCGGCCCGAGATGCCGCGGATCGTCTAATGGAGGGCCTTATATCTGTTTGCTCTTCTTGAAAAAAAAGTTTTTTTGTTTTCCGGCTTCTTAAAAAAGTTATTTTTGTGTCCCTGCTGCTGTTTTATGTTTCCGCTCCTTCACCGAAATATTTTAGTTCTTGAGTTGAGATGCATTTTGGTTAACGCTTTTGATAAACTGTCTAAGGCTTTCAGTTTTTTTGCGGTGTGCCCAACTTTAAGGGAAACGTGTCTGGTTGTCGCATGAGGTAAGCAATACTAAGCTTATGTTCGAGCCAATAAATGCCAGAGCAATACAACGCCTATAGTACTCAGAAACTTGCTACGACTGTTCCTCCGCGTCAATTGCTCTGTTACGGCGCACGGGGTAGTGACGTCAGCAGGGTGTGTTGCGCTCTCAGGGCGCACGGGTCAACTACTACAGAAGCTCGTTCTCCTGCTCTCGTGCACGGGGTAGTGACGTCAGCAGGGTGTGTTGCGCTCTCAGGGCGCACGGGTCAACTACTACAGAAGCTCGTTCTCCTGCTCTCGTGCACGGGGTAGTGACGTCAGCAGGGTGTGTCGCGCTCTCAGGGCGCACGGGTCAACTACTACAGAAGCTCGTTCTCTTGCTCTCGTGCGCGGGGTAGTTACGACATGAGGGCGTGTTGCCCTGTTCTGCCGCATCTTGTGGCAAGCATTGTCCGTAATTTAAGATTGATTTTTGCTGGTTGTTGGATGCATTATTTCTCGTGAACTTTACGTTTGCCCTGATAGTGGAGGGGGTCAATGCAACCCCTAAAGGTCTTTTAGCATACCTCTCCAAGATGCTGTGCAATCACTCCAAAATTTTCAGTAGCGCATAAGACATTTAATTCACGTGTTTTGGCACAAAAATCATCTAACTAGCTTTTTCGGATTCCAAGCAGCGGCGGTTTTCGAGGAGCACTGCACGGCGATTCACGGCCGACGAGCGGGACGGGCGGGAACCGGTGATGCCGCGGAACGCGCGCGGCCGGCCGACATGTTACATTAGCAAAGTCACGAGTCATAAAGATATGCTCAAAACGCATACAAATATGCACCATTGTGCTCAAAATTGAACCAGAAACACGCCAGTTCGTGTCTTTTGTCGCCAGAAGATATGATATCGCATGTATGATGAAAAGCTCATAAAACACTAATTTCCGGAAAAGTTAACCTCTAATCTGACCTAATGGGTTCAGTGATTGACCCGAGCGCACACAAAATGGCACCAATCGCGAGAAATTGTTAAAACTTATCTATTGGTGTTTTTCGCTAAGCCCTATCTTCTCTAGTTTGGGAACACCAGCGGGCACGTCGCAGTCTGCGTTATGGAAAACAGCGACTCGGGGCATTCGTGACAAGTTGTGCTAACTTATTTTTCTAACACTTTTTTAACGGCTCAGTTTATAACAGTTGGGCCTTTTTATTCAAACAGATCATCCCGAAGTTGTTCATAATAACATCGTGTCAATTGGCAATTTTGTGATGGCGTAATTTTGGGATTCTGGGATTGGTCTTTTACTCATCACTCATCACTTCTTGCCTAAGACATGCCATCTAAAGCTGCCCCAGGAAATTCCCACGTGAGCACGCTGATCTGTGTTTTGCTTATTGCGAGCGTCGATTGCGAGACAGGTGCTCCCTCTAGCTCAGCTTGTAGCGCCGACCACAAAGCTGCTTCTGGTGAGTTATTTGTCCAGCAGATGGACTAACAAATCAGACTGGATAGGAGTAACTACACGTGTAGATAAGCGATGGGTTAATAAACGTGTCAGATCTGCCTTCAAGCGTGGTTAACTGGACCACACGCGTCACTAGATGCAGGTCAGCACTTGGACCAGCATTAGGGTCATCCACCGTATGGTGCATAGAAGCGAAGCATGGTGCCGCGTTGTTCTCGAAGCCAACTGCCCTCGGAACATGCAAACAACAAGATTCCACTGAACCCACAATACATGCGCATTTGTCTTACATGCCTCCCTGGTAAGGATGGCCCGCCGAAGCCTGTCGGAAATGACATCGTTTCATTATGCGCAAGCATGAAAATCCACCACCTACAGGGATAAAGCATGACGACACGCATGCTACATGCAACCTAAACAACCGTAACTATTGGTGTATCTGTTCCCAAAAACCGAGCCGTCTGCAGACTGGGCTGCCTGCAGACAGAGGCCCCTCGTCGACGCTGTCTTTGACCCGTGTCCACAGGCGATCATCGCCCTGCTGACCGGCGGCGGCGGGGGTGGAAGGTCAGCGACCGGCCGGGCCACGCGCCCCAGCTCTGACGCAGACGACAGCCGGTTGTACGACCTTGACATGGTATCGGAGGTCACGCATCAGTTCATGCTGGCGCTGTACAAGTACAGCGGCTACTGACGGACGCTTAGTGGCCATAGGTGTTACTGACAAGTTGTTCGCGAATACGAATGCGGAGTCTTCGATGTAGATATCCATGCAGAATGTTGGCTACAGCGTTCATCGACTAGGATAAGATGCTATGGGCATGAATGTGACGTGTGCATATGACCTTGTCAAGTGCTCAATGGATTTCGTACGAATACAATTAATGGACAGATGTGCGTTCAATGGAAAACGTCGTGTCAAGGCCCTGCACCAGAAAACGGGTAGTAGTACGTATCTTTGGACGGCGTTTGATACTGTACCTTCTCCACAGCACTGGTTCAGTCACCACCTGGAATGTCATGCCGCATCCCTCATCAAAACTGTCCTCAACTCTCCTCACACTTGCACAGTGACCCTCACCACTAAAGCTTTATCATGGTACAAACAAAATCGTCCTCAACTCTTTCCACACTTGCACGCTGACTCTTACTTCTGAAGATTCATCACGGTACAAACAGGACCTCCTGGACAATGTCCGGTGTTCTCCTGCATGAAATCTTTAGACTGCCGGTGCGGGGAATTACGTTGAATGCGACGATCATTTCTTTCTGATCACTCTGTAACTTGAAGTCAGCTTCCACGCGCACTCCGCGCATGACTGAATTATTTTGCATCCCGGGCTGCACGACGTCGATTTCTTTCCCTTAATGTCGGGCAGGAAGTCACTGCCTGCATAAAGGGATGAAAAATGCACTTTGCAGGGTGTGACAGTGACTATGCCAATACCGATTTAAGCTTGTACAGTCTTGCTAGCCTTGCATGGAGCTGTCCAACTTTTGACAGCGTTGCAGCACCAGCTTCTTCAGCATTCTCCACCTATGTCTGCTGCACGTAACGTCTCGATGCAATGTAGGTAACGGTGCAACACACGGTACATCTTGTTTGACTAACAAAGGACACAGCTGACAAACGCAAACAAACGTGAATGTACGCACTCGGCGTGTGATACGCTACATTGTGATTTATCTCATTAAAGTGCGGTCAATCTGTCGATGAAACAAACCCGCAAACATAGCTATTGCGAGCCACAGCGCATTGTTCCAGTTCCAGTGCGCTTGACATAGCATCGCCAGCCGGCTTCTTTGACGGCCTGTTTCAGGACCTGCACGGCCCTCCGTGCCGAATGGTAGTTTCTCTGCATCAAAAGCGGCTGTCACGCCTGGGTAGCGTACAACAGCACGCCCGGTTTGGCATTTGTCCCGTTAAGGTGCCTGCTACGGTCGGTTCGCCGAAGCGGGTCCGTTATCTGTGGCGGCGACGAGCGCTGGCAGCTGCGGCGAGCCCGGCGCGCGGCCATGGTCTGGACGCAGTAGTGCGGGAGCGGCAGAGTCCAGTCCAGGCTCTTTAAGCCGCCTCACCATGACGGCCCGCAGCCTCCAGACGATAGCAGCGATCACACATTGCTCAGACGATAGCAGCGATCACACATTGCTCAGACGATAGCAGCGATCACACATTGCTCAGACGATAGCAGCGATCACACACTGCTAAGGCCGTTTCTGCAGGACGATTTAACACAGTTAACTTGGATAGGCAGGGTGCAGGCAAGAAGTACACAGGGGGCACATGTCCTCCCCCATTAGGTCACGAGGGCCCGAAAGGCCCCACGGGGCTCATCATCATGAATCAGACTGGAGGGCTCAAAGGGTCCGAAGGGTCCGAAGGACTGGCAGGAGGTCGTATTGAGGGACCCTTGCCTGCAGAGCCGCACCCCCAAAGATTATTTCATAGTTCGCGTCGATCGGAACCCCTGGGACACTGAGAGCCTCTTTGTTGGGACACTGAGAGCCTCTAAGAGACTGCCAACACCGACCAATCGGTTCCGCGTCAGTTCGGGTCCTTGGGCCGGTTTCCCAAGCAGGGACAAGACCGGGGCCTGCAACTGGCACTAAGGACATCATGCATAGTCAGTGCATCTGAAGCAACAAGGGCTCCCATGTGCTGGCCAGTATCCAATCCCAATACCTGGCCATGGCCCGTGTAAGTGTTCAACGAGAGATTTGAGGTCGGCAAAAGGCCCCAAGTCGGCCATGGATACCTTTGCAGAACAGGAAGAGAGACGTGACACCAAATATCAGAGTGCCTCTAGCGCTGGTCAGAGCTCTCCGACATTGACAGGAGACTTGATAAACGACAATGAAAGGATCCAAAAAGACACGATGGAACGGGTTGTGCCAGTCAGCGGCGGGAGGAAGTCCAGAGGGGGGGGGAGGGGGGGGGGACATAGGGTCATGCCCACCCTTAGGCCCCGAATAGGCCCATACTCACCGAAGGGACCCAACGCCGGCCGAACAGACGCAGTTTTTTTAACACAAAACGCAACAAAACTGGACGTCTTGGGGTTTCCTGACGACCAAGAACAGTCGCAAGCAAAAGGGAAGGAGCCACGAGCAGACAAAAGTTATTGTTCACTGATTAAGAGGATGGTGATAGAGAGATTTTAAGGTTCATTGCGCTGTTCAGTGGCCCTACGCTGTTCCTAGAGCCCTATATGTCAACTTGCAGGGAAAATGCGATTACTAAGGAGCCTTCCATATACTCCTTGATTTAGTTACACTTGCTTGAAAGGCCCCGTGCTATTGTCGGGGCTCTCTGCTGGCCCTCTTGTCAATCAGTGGTCTTCCACTGATTCTTCCCATTCGTCCAAAGGGCTCTATGCGCTATAGCCGTGGCCCCGTACGTTACACTGCTGGGGTATCCTAGTCTGTTCAAGGGCCCTCACGTTGGTTTCGGTTAACCTACCGCCACGCTCGCGATATGTTCATGGGCCCTCTACATTGGTCCTATGCCCGTCCACTGCCCTGTCACTTGCGGAGGGCGCTACGCCCTTGTCGGGGGCTCCATTTGTTAACCCCCACCTCGGGCATGCTCGATCTTTCGGGTGTCCTTCACGTTGGGTCTTAGGTGCTTCTAATGTTTTTTGATGGCGCTACACTGTTGTCGGGAGTCCCATCTGCTAACCGGCTCGGGCACACTCGATTGTTCGGGGGCCCTGCACATTGGGTCTTTGGTACTTGTCATTGGAATAAAGGATCCTACAAATGTAGTCTTACTATCTACTAACATGCCTGGGCACTCTTCATCGATGAAGGGCCCCTCCACGGATTCTTTACATTCGCCTGAAAGGCTCGCGGCTCACTCCTATCAGGGTCTTTTCTATTGATCTGCTCGGGCACTCCTTATCTTTCAGGAGCATTAATTCATGCACACTGGTCTTGGGTTATTCCCCTGTACTCAGAATGTCATGCGCTCTGGCCGGACCCTGTGTGTTATCCCGCCGGGGTACTCCCGACCGCGCAGCGTCTCACCATATGCGCTCTGGCCGAACCCCGTGTGTTATCCCGCCGGGCTACTCCCGACCGCGCAGCGTCTCACCATATTGATCTTAGGTTTTCCGCTTGCTTTGAGGACCCTACACTGTCGATGGGAGCCTTTTTGTTGGCCTTCCGCGACACCCTCAATTGCTCAGGTGCGGTCTCTTTTCGTCTTAGGCATTCCCTTATTACAGAAAGGCCTATGCCGTTGACGGGGAACTAAATCTTAATTGTAATGACAAGTACTTAATTGTAACGATAAGAATGTAATGATAATGATAAGGATCGGTGAGACCACCGAATGTCAGAGACATTTCGAGACGGACACCATTATTAGGTATCAAGTGGGATGCGGTGGTGGCGTAGCCGGGGCCTGAACCACAGACCGATAGGTCCTGAGTCAAACGCTCAGACCATTATACCACCACCGCCCCGAACATAAATCATCATCGCCCGCAGAGCTCTTGCTCGCTGTGGGGCTCTTCACGTTGGGCGTGGACTCTTTCGATGAAGTCGCTTCTTTATTCTCCCCATATGCCTGGGAACTCATAGAAACATTTTGTAGGGGGCGGGGCAACAATGCCCCCTCACCTCAAGTATATAAATAAAGCGATGTCCCTGGCTAGGAGATAGGATGGAGGTTACCCAAAAGCTGCCAGCTTCAAAGGATTTTGGAAACCCCGAATGGGATCGGCTAGGGTGTATTTCTATGAATACCATACATAGTGAGAAAATATGCTGCCTACTGGACGCTGCAGTCAGGCTCCTTCAGAGCAGAGGAGGATTTCGGCGTCGATCGCGGCGACACCATGGCCGGGCAGCGACACAGGCTCGTGATGTGAACATGTCTAGTCGTGGTTATCATGGCACTGGTGAGTAAAAGCAGAGTGTGCCACACCACTCGATCTTTATGAAATCCGGATGGGCCGAAATGATGGAGCTCGGCTTCTAGCACACGAGAGGCGCGGCGAGATGCGCGCACCTTCATGGTTTGCTGATTTCCTTCAGTGTTGTATGCGCATGACTAAGAACGGATCTGTTTTGTGTCGTACTCGTACAACGCTACGACACCGCCGGCTCTGGCCTGGACGGTCTTCCGTGTTCATTCGCCAGGGGAATTTCGGGTCTGACACAACAAACCGCACGTTCTAGGCATCGCATCGAGTGACATCGGGTTAGATATGCCATGATCAGAGGCGATGCCAGTGACCATGTCGCTGGGCCATGACCGGTCAGGCGCCGAGGGCTCTTAACCCCGGCCGCTGCGCTTGTCCCTGACACCCGATTACCGCCCACTGACGGGGACGCTGGAGACTGACACCCGTTTACCACCCACTGACGGGGACGCTGGAGACTGACTCTCGAAATATACACAAGCCACGGCTATGCGTCGGCTCGGACGCAGACGTTGAGTTCCATCGCCCCTCCCTGTTCTATGTTCCCTATCCTCTAAGCCTTGTGGCTGCATATGCTGTCACTCCTGATCATCATCTGATGCCACAATGGAGGTGGACGCCGACTGTATCGTGCGCATTGGTCTGCCTGACTTCGATGCAACGCATGTACCACACTGGGCGAATTCCAGCCTAAAATGGCCAAAAACCTCATTTTCTTGCATCTTACCAACTGTCTGCTTCCGTTGCTTTCCGCCGTCGGATTGATCAGGCTGTTTAAAATCAGCCTCAGAACAGCCTGGGCGCCTTGGTGATAGCATATTTCGCATGAAGTCGGAGTCACGTAAAGTTCTTTTGCTACGTGTCGAATCCATTCTACATATGTCGACAGCATGCTTGTGTATTTTTAGATAATGAATTGCCC